TTTAAGTAATCTTACTTGTCATCTACCCTTCAATATGTAGATATATTCCCTTTGTTGCTCTTCAATTAACCTTCCATTTCCTGTATCCTTAGTGTTGCAATTTTAGATCACCACATGCACTTGCAGGTATGCATACTTATACTCTATATTGCAATGTTATAAGCTCACCCGTTTCACAGTAAATGGAAGGGACATGCATTTAAAATGCCATAGGGAAAGTGAATTTTCAATCGTTTTCATAAGAACTATGAATAACTAACGCTGTAGAAAGTTCACTTTATTTTTATTGCTTGTAGTGGGAAATGTAGGCGACTTGAAAAAAGGCCACTGTAGAAAGAATTATTGCAGAAGTGCACACAATGTTTGAGAATACAAAGCTAATTCTTCTGATTTACTCTGATTGCATTAATATGTGTTTTGTTATGAGCAGTTATGTTGCAAGGATCCAGCTGTCCAAAACACAACATTATAATTGTTAATTAATCTGATAAAAAAATATAAACCAAGGTCTGTAAATATTGGAATTCAGTTTGTGTTGAATGGGATGTCTGATGTACTCTCTACTTTCTGCTACTAATGCCTCAATTTCAGTAACCGCTTTTCTCATCTATTAATATTATCTGTGTCATTTCTTGCTATTTTGACAGTTATCATTGGAGAGATCTGAACATTTAGTCTCTGTTTCAAAGTAACATGCTTTTTGTGCAGATATACTAAAATGTACTCAGTGGACCATCCAGAATGCAACTTACTTGGTTTAAATATTTAAAGAGCTGGTTGTCTGAAAAAGGAGTTTGGGGACAGAGGAAGCTATGTGAGAGCTTCTGTTGTCTAGATAGTACACAGTTTGCTAAATTGCTAAATATTTCCGGTCCTTAGAGGTTAGCATGTCTTATGTCCCTTTTACCCTTTGCTGCTGTTCTCCCTTCTCTTTTGAGTGTCATGATTTAAATATTGAAGATGATACTATTTTATGTTAACAAATATAGATGGAATGTAGGGTTATTACAGGTGGGTAACTGATCATAGAATCACAGAGTCACTTCGGTTGGAAAAGCCCTCTAAGATCATTGGGTCCAACTATTAACTCTACCAAATCCACCTCTAAGCCATATCCCCAAGCACCACATGTATGCAGCTTTTAAACACATCCAGGGATGGTGACTCAACCACCTCCCTGGGCAGCATGTTCCAATGCCTGACAATACTTTCAGTGACAAAGTTCTTCCTAATGTCCAGTCTAAACATCCCCTGGGGCAGCTTGAGGCCATTCCTTCTTGTTATATCACTGGTTACTTATGAGAAGAGACCAGCACTTCCTTCTCTATGATGTCCTTTCAGGAAGTTGTAGAGAGCAATAGGCCCCCCCCTCAGCCTCCTTTTTCTTCAGACTAAATAGCCACAGTTCCCTCAGCCACTCATAAGACTTCTCCCTTCACCAGCTTAGTTGCTCTTTTTGGATCTGTTCCAGCACCTCGATGTCCTTGTATTGCGGTGCCCCAAACGGAACACAGTACTCGAGCTGTGGCCTCGCCAGTGTTGAGTACAGAGGGACAATCACCTCCCTGGTCCTGCTGGCCACACAATTTCTGACACAAGCCAGGATGCCATCGGCCTTCTTGGCTACCTGGGCACACTGCTGGCTCGCATTCAGCCTCTTGTCAATCAGCACCCCCAGGTTCCTTTCCCCTGAGCAGCTTTCCAGCCACTCTTCCACAAGCCTGTAGCATTGCATGGGGCTGTTGTGGCCTAAGTGCAGGACCTGACATTTGGTCTTGTTGAAGCTCATACAATTGACCATGACCCATCAATCCAGTCTGTTCCAGTCTCTCTGTAGAGCTTCCCTACTGTCAAGCAGATCAACACTCCCACCTAACTTGATGTTATCTGCAAACTTACTGACGGTGCACTCTGTCTCCTCATGAGAAGCACCACTTGTGACTTTTTGCCAACTGGATTTAACTCCATTCACTTCCACTCTCTGGGCATGGCTGTCCAGGCAGTGTTTTACCCAGCAGACTGTATGTCCATCCAGGCCATAAGCAGACATTGTTTTATTCATGAGAATGCTAAGAGAAACAGTCTCAAAGGCCCAACAGAAGTCCAGGTAGACAACCACAGCCTTTCTTTCATCCACCAGGTGGATCATCTTGTCATGTAATGAGGTCAGGTTCATCAGGCAGGACCTGCCTTTCATAAAGCCATGCTCACTGGGCTTCATCACCTTTATGTTCTATATATGGTGCATAATGCCACTAAAGATGGTCTGCTTCTTGACCATTTCCTTTTGGATTATGGAGGTCCCATTCTGCTCCACCTCCCTGTCCTCCAGTTCAGGGGGCTGGGTGTCCTGGGAACAACTAGTTCTACAGCTGGGGCAAAGAAGACATTAAGTACTTCACCCTTTTCCTTGTCCTTTGTCACTGTGTTTCCCCCTGACTCCAATAAATGATGGAGGTTCTCCCCAGTCCTCCTTTTGTTATTAATGTGTTTATACACAGATTTTTTTTTTTTAAAATTTGTCTTTGACAGCAGTAGCCAGTTTGAATTCTAGTTGTACTTTGGGTCTCCTAATTTTGTCCCTGCATAGCGTCATTACACCTTTATAAACCTCATGAGAGGCCTGCCCCCTCTTCCAGAGGCCATAAACTCTTGTTGTTCCTGAGTTCCAGCCAAAGGTGTCTATTCAGCCAGGCAGGTCTCTGACAGCTCGTCTTTCAGCACATGGGTACAGCCTGCTCCTGCACCTTAAGGACTTCCTTCTTCAAGTATGTCCAGCCTTCCTGGACTCCTTTACCCTTCAGAACTTCCTCCCAAGGGCCTTTGTCAATCAGTCTCCTAAACAGGCCAAAGTCTTCCCTCTGGAAGTCCAAGGTGGCAGTTTTACTGGCCCCCCTTGTAATCCCCCCAAGAACTGAAACTATCATTTCATTATCGCAGTGCCCTGGATGGCCTCCAACCATTACTTCCCCCATAAGTCCTGCTCTGTTCATGAAGAACATCTTCCCTAGTTGTCTCCCTTACCATTTGAGTCAGGAAGTTCTCTTCAATGCAGTCCAGTAACCTCTCTGGGCAGACCATTCCAATGTTTGATAACCCTTGCAGTGAAGAAGTTTTTCCTAATATTCAACCTAAACATCCCCTGGTACAACTTGAGGCCATTTCCTCATGTCCTATCACTTGTTACTTGGGAAAAGCAACTGACCCCTCACCTCTCTACAGCCTCCTTTCTGCTAGTTGTGGAGGGTGATAAGGTCTCCCCCGAGCCTCCTTTTCTTTAGGATAAACCACCCCAGTTCCCCCAGACTCTCCTCATAAGACTTGTGCTGTAAATCCTTCACCAGCTTTGTTACCCATTCCTGGACACACTCCAGCAACTCAGTGTCCTTCCTGTAGTGAGGGGCCCAAAACTGAACCCAGTATTCAAGGTGCAGCCTCACCAGTGTTGAGTGTAGTGGGACAATCACTTCTCTAGTCCTGCTGACTACACTGTTTCTGACACAGGCCAGGATGCCATTGGCCTTCTTGGCCAGCTAGGCACACTCCTGGCTCACCATCCGATGGCTGCTGATTTAATACCCCCAGGTCCTTTTCTGTCAGACCACTTTCCAACCACTCTTACCCAAGCCTGTTGCATTGCATGGGGTTGTTATGACCCATGGGCAATCCAGCACTTGACCTTGTTGAACTTCATACCATTGGCCCATCGATCCAGCCTGTCCAGATCACTCTGTGGAGCCTTCCTACCTTCTGCACTCCTGACCAGCTTCATATCATCTGCAAACTTACTGAGGGTGCCCTCAATCCCCTCATCCATATCATTGATAAAGAAGCTAAACAGAACAGGCCCCATTACTGATGTCTGAAATGTTAAATTTGCAGTGCTGAAAAGTATTTTAAATGGACACATCTCAGAAACATTTCTTCATTACCTAAAATGTTTTGTATATGATGCTTTTAGAAACCTTGGAAACAGTAGTGAAAAGTTTTTCAACATTAAATATTTAAAGTCACAGATTATGTAGGAAATTCAGTAAATGCAGCAGTAATCTTTGTTTTCCAGCCTCTTTTGAAAAATATGTCCTTGATGTATCAGAGGCGCTTTGAAAAGATGGGAATGCCATCTTTTATCTTTTAGAGTGGCTGTAGAACTAAGGAAAACTTTGCCCATGTTTGATGTCTTAGAACTACTTGGGCTGAAACAGAAAAGTTAACAGATAATGCTGTGTATCTTCAGCGGAATTATAAGAAGAAACTGAATTGTTTGATATCATGGAACTTTTCGATCTTTGGAAGAAAAATTCAATGTTAGGCTATGTTAATAACGCAGAGGAAGCTACCTTGTTATTGTAAAAAGTTATTTTTGAACTCCAAGAACTTTGGTATGTCAGATAGACAGTGAATGGCTGTTCCGTTTGTGAAAGCCCTCCTGGTGTGATAGCTAAACTCTTAAACAGAAGCTGCTTCTTATTTAGTAGCAAGGTGGTTCTCATTAATATCAACCTTCCTTCAACAGTCAGACCTTTTACCTTGTACTTTTTTACCATGCAAACAGCAAGCAGTAATTATCTGTAAAAGAACCTGTCATCAGCTGAAGTGAATTCAAGTTTTGGCAGAAGCTGCAAGTTTTAAACTTAGATGGACATTTTTCCTGAGGTAGAGTTGTCTGGTGGTGGGGTGTAGCGCTTTGTTTTTCTTAGATTCAAACACCTATGCAGAGAAATATTACAGTACTTGTCAGCAGAAGTTCTTTACTGTGTAAATTATTTTACAGTCATCTTTTGGGGCTCTTTCCTGTGGGAGGAGAGATTAGATCTTGTAGGTAGAACTTGAATTTTCATAGATGAGTAAGTATAGTGTATATTAGGGAAGCATTAGACATACCCATTCTTTAAAAATACATATATGTATGTGTGTATATATGTCTATAGCTCAAGAAAAAGAAATTTAAGGGATTTCTGATTTGTTTGAAAACCACAGAGATGAGATCATCTGAACCGATGAATGATGGTACTTGTGTGAGCTTCCATTGTTTTAGGAATGTACTCCTAGGTCCTTCCTTCTTGTGTTCTCTCCTGTTTTATTTGCATATAATTGAAAATGAGAGGTAAAAAAATGGGTTTCTAGGACAATTATTTTCACTGTGTTCCTGCATTGTTTTACAACAGTGATGTCCTTCACAGGTAGCTTGTTGATTGATTGCCTTTAAATCATTGATTTTTTAAACAAATTCTGTTTTTTTTTTTTTTTTTTTTTTCTTTTTTTTTAGGTAGAGATAGCAGATATTGAAAATGAAGAAAAAAGGTATGCTCTCTTCCTGGGACTTCTGGAGACTAGTCACAGTCCGTCCGAGTTTCAGCACTTGGTTTTACTCCTCCAAGCTTGGCCACCAATGGACATGAGCAACAGGTTAGCATTTCTTCAAACAGTCACGTAACAAAGGAGTTCTAAGTCTTCTTGCTTGATAATATTGTATAGTTTTCAGTCAATGAACTCAAACATGGCTAAGAGGAATAGGACCTTTGGAAAGGGTCATACTGAGAAAAGTAAATGGTTTATTTAAAGCAGAATTGAATCAATCAGTTTCTTGTAAAAATTATGTACATATGTAGTAGGTGTCATGGAGAAGGCAGAAGAACATTTTATTGCTTAAACTGTTGCACAAGAAGGTTTCCTGTTTCCTTTAAATTAAAAGTTAAGTGTTTTGCTCTTATATTTGGCAGTATGTACAAAATCTATGAAAAGGAATAGAAAGTTCTGACTTTCTTTCAAAGTTATGCTTGCCAGAAACCTCTTTGAACGTTAGTGTTCCGATGACTGTGACAGATGGTCTGCAGGAGGTCTGTGAGGGTAATGGTACGAGGAATGGTGCTTCTCTTTTCTAGTTCCAATACCTGTTATTTCTGTCTCTGAATAAAGTATCCAAAGGCAAAGAATATATACTAGGGCAGACATATCCTAGCCCAAGAATATAAAATTAACTATTTGAAACTTCGGATTTTCACCTGTCACAGTGGGTATCTATTCAAAATGTTAACTTCAAACATCTTGACTACATTATTTTTTACCCATTCTTTCGGTTTTGTCTGTGACTATTTGAACACATTTAAAGGTAAAAATTTTAGTTGTTCTGTAACTGTTGATCATTTCTAGGACATAAGGATTCATATGATCCTGTGAGGTAGGATCATAGACTGGCATAGGTAGGAAGTGACCCTAGAGATCATCTAATGCAACCTCCCTGCCATGGGCAGAGATGCCTCTCAACTAGATGAGGTTGCTCAAGGCCTCAGCCAACCTGGCCTTACACATGTCCAAGGAGGGGGCATCCATAACCTCTCTGGGCAACCTATTCCAGTCTCTTCACCCTTGTCGTACAGAACTTCTTCCTAAGATCTAGTCTAAACCTTCTCTCCTTCAGTTTATAACGATTTCCCCTTGTCCTGTCACTGCACACTGTTATGAGAAGTCTCTCCCCAGCCTTCCTGTAGGTTCCCTTCAGGTACTGGAAGGCAGTTAAAAGGTGCCCCCAGAGTCTTCTCCAGGCTGAACAATCCCAGTGCACTCAGCCTATCCTTGCAGCAGAGTTGCTCCAGCCCATGGATCAACTTTGTGGCCCTCCTCTGGACTCATTCCAACAGATCTGTGTCCCTTTGATGGTGGAGAGACCAGAACTGGACACAGCATTCAAGGTGGGATCTCACAGGAGCAGAGTAAAAGGGGAGAGAATCACCTCCCTTTCTCTGCTGGCCACAACCCTAGAGAAGTCACATACCTGTCAAGGAGAGCAATAACATGAATGTTTTTTTGGCAATGGAATGCAGTGTGCCATGTCTGACAGTAGTTAGGAGGTTAGAGACATTCAATGATGCTTCCTTTGGATTACTGTGGGGTATTGATTACAACCTGATGTAACTTAGGGACTACGCTCCCCAGAGTGTTTATGTACATTGATTTGTCAGAAAAGTTAAGGCGTATCTTTTTATGAAGAGTAACTCTTTTGTGTAATTGTAGAGAACTGGACCATTAGAAGGTAATCTGTAAAGGGTCTTTCCCTTCAAGCCTGCAGCTTGTTTGCAGTTTCTGGATAAGCATTAACCTAAAGTCTTTATGACAGTTTTATGAGCTAAAAAATGTCTTCAGTGCATTGTGAAGTACAATGACTGCTGTGTGATCTGTCACAAATTCATATTCCAGCTTTCTTTTTTAGTTTTGGAGGGTTTTTTTTTGTAATTGAAAATTGTCTGCTTCACAGTGTACAGGAAATGTCAAACTTTAAGGTAGTGTTTAGAAAAAGCAATAAATTGTTAAAATTATGGAACAAAGGGTGAAGTGAAATACTGCTGCAATTAAAAAAAAATTGTTTCCTTGGGTTGAACAGAGAGTAAAGATTTTGTGAAAGGCGAACACTCTATATAGACAGTTCTTGTCTACTGCTTTGTAACAGAAGAAATTAAAAGTTATTTAATTTTATCTCCCACTTGGTGTTCAGTTCCTTCAAGTTTATTTACTACAGTGAAGAAGAGAAAATAAAATAATGATTAAATGTTATTTGTTGGCACAGCTAACAGTGGATTAAATTTCAGAGGTGGGATATGTCTTAGTTCCAATATCTCTGAAGTCTGAAAATGTGTGCAAAATACTTAGATCACTTGTAGTATAACTCATTTAGGGTCTAAAGTAGTTAGGATAGATGCTAGGCATTTATACAGCCACAATTTTGGCATAAATAAATCAGTTAGGCCAAGATAAGGGGCTAGAGAACAGGGTGAATTAATTCACAACCTTATATGTGATTTCGTGATTTTTGTGTATTTAGCAATAGCTGAGGTCCAAAGAGATCTCTGTGAATGTCTCCTCCAGCTGCCACGCTCAAAGCAGCATCAGCTAGAGCAGACTGTGCAAGGCCATTGCCTTGCTGAGTTTTGACTGTCTCCAAGATTGGAGACTCCACAGCTACAGCAGAAAGGTTTTTCTTTACCTTTTAGTCAAATGTTCTGTGTTTCAATTTATGCCCATTGCCTCTTGGGCTATCGCTAGATATCGCTGAGCAGAGTCATGCTCCCTCTTCTTTGCTTTCTCCCTCAGGTATTTATATAATTGATGAAATTTCCCCAAGCCTTTTTTTTTCTTTTTTTTTTTTTTTATGAACAGCAGCAACTCTCTCATTGTTCTCAGCCTCTGCTTGTGGGACAGATACTCCAAATGCTCCAAATCCCTTCATCATGTTTGTGACACTTTTCTGGATTGCTTCAATATGTCCATGTCACATTTGTACTGGGGAGCCCAGAACTGGACTCAGCACTCCAGATGTCTCACCAGTGCTTAGGGGAAGGATGACCTCCCTCAGCCTGCTGAGAGCCACCTCCTGGTGCAGCCCAGGATGCTGTTGTCCTCCTTTGCATTGAGGGTACCATGGCCATCTTGTTGTCCAGCTTTCCAGCTGATTGGCTTTCAGCCTCTACTAATGGTTATTTCTTTACAAGTAGGGGTTGGACTTTGGATTTCCCTTTGCTGAGTTTCATGTAATGGATCTCTGTCCGTTCCTCTAGACTCTCAAGGTAACACTGAATGGCAGCAGAAGCATCTGTTGTATCAGCCATTCTGATGGTTTTGTATCATCTGCAGACTTCCTGAGAGTGCACTCTGATAGTCATCTTGGTCCTCAACGAAGATATTAGAGTATTTGCCTCAGTATAGACCCCTGGGGCCTACCAGTGGTCACTAGACTTGGTGGCACTGATCACAACTACTTGAACTCAGCGCTTCAACCAATATTCAGTCTGCCCCACTGTCCACTTGCCTGTCCTGTACTTCACCAGGTTGTCAGTGAGGACACTCTGGGGGACAGTGTCAAAAGCATTGCTGAATTAATACAAAGTACATTCTGTCAGCCATCATCTACCAAGCCATTACATCACAGCAGGTTATCAGGTTGATGAGGCATGATTTCCCCTTTTCAAATCCATGACTATTTTCAGTCCAATCCTTGTCTTTTATTTGCTTGGAAATGCTTCCAGGAGGATTTGCCTCATCTTCCCAAGAACTGAAGTGAGGCTGAACAACCCCATACTCTGCTAAGAACAAATCACAGATTTCATCCTGTGATTAGATTGACTATTTATTTGTATTACTAAAACTTCAGTGTCTCTCTTCACTTCTTTGACTTTGCCAGGTGGCTTTGAAAAGCCTTTGGGAGAAAATTGCCCCCTTCTCTTTCACTAGTAATAGCCACCTGTACTGGTTTCATGAAGAACCACTCCTATAATCCCCAAATGTGATCTACAGTGCAGATTCACAACTATTTTTCTGAATTTCAGCACTGAATTCACTCTGTTTCAGAGAAATAGAGTCATTCAGATATTCCAGATTTTCTTGAGTTTGCCTGAAACTCTGAACAACCAAAAAATGATAATAATTAGTGGAGCAAGCAATTGTGTTCATAGTATAGGAAACAATATTTTTGTTTTAATTTCTTTTTTTTTCCTTAAAGGGTGGTGAACACAGGGCGCAGGTACCAATGTGTTTTCATTCTTCACTTCTTTTAGCTTGAAGGGTGTGGAAAAACATCTAGTCTGTTCTCTACTTTGCCTTAGCAGCATTTTAGATAAGAGAATTGAGGTTGCATCTTGAAATAAATGGCAGAGATTGAGGAGCTCTGCCACCTTCCCTCCCTTTTTCTCATTTCTTTTCTCAGTAGGAGTGTTGCATTTCTGCTTTGTTTTAGCATTTATTTATTTAATGAGTAAGTTGATGGTGGTTCAGTTTTTCCCTTTGCTATTGACTTGTCCCAGTAGAAAAATATATCATAGGGGGGCATTTTCCACTCCCTGTGGTCTTTCTTTGTTTGTATTCCCATTGCTTTCCTTTTATTATCACTTGTTTATGTACTAACAATACTTGCAAAACTGATAAAGTACTTTAAAAATCCTGTGTCTGCAGGAATACTCATTGTAGCTTGAACATCCTTCTTTGTAGCTTATTTCTAGTGCTTTCAGAAAACATACATAATATTTTAATATTAGATAGGATGATCATAGTTATGAGTTCTTTTTGTAAATTATCTTTTCTTCCACTTAGTTGTATTAATTCAGTCAGTTATGTTTTGGACTTCTGGGGTTTTCTGGAGATGCTTTGTTTTTTTGTTCTGTTCTGTAAGAAGTCTAAGAAAAACATTTAAGTACATACTATAAGGACTTAAATTTAAATCTAAGCATTTTACTGCACAGTTTATTTAAAGCTAAATGTGTATTTCTTATTTTTGTCTACAGAAATAATATATTTGGTGTACAGAAATGTTCTCAAACTGAATTCTGGCATTTATAACCAGTGTGCTGTCATTAAAAAAATTGTGTTATCTCCAAACATCTGTCTTAAGTTAACAGTGCTCCTGAAATAAAGTTCCATCCTCATCTCACCCTCAACCCTCTCATCTCAAGTATGATTAGTTTTAAAAAGTCAGGTACAGCTTTCTTTATTATTCCCTGATGTGAGACAGGATTAATTTCATAAACTCTTGTCAAGGAGATAATTAGATTTTTTTTTTTTTTTCAGCTGCCTCTTGTTATACTGTGCTGTTAATAATTTACATTTATTTTTAATTATTTTACATTTTATTAATTTGAATTATTTTGCGTTGCAGATGCTGGAATTATTCATTCCAGCTGGGAGGCAGGGGCTGTGCTGGAAGCAGGAGGTCCAGCCACAATCCAAAAAATATTCGGTACTTTCTGCCTTCTTTATCTGAACCTTCTCTCCTCTTTCTCCCCGTTGCCATTGACAGTCGTTCTCACAAGCCCATCTCTGTGTCTTTGGGAAGGCTTGTGACAGTGTGGGGTCAGGGCTGCCCCAGGCCTGGAGCAGGTGCTCCGTTAACCCCCCTCCACCCCCGAAGGAGAAGAGAGAGGAAATAAGGGAGAGAGACTGACCGATTAGAAAAGGAAAACAGCTTTAATGAAAACGATAGTAAGAAAGTTGAATATATACAACTATATACAGATATGTACAAAACTGGTATCTAGCCCAGCTCCCCCTTGGGCAATACGTCACCGTCACCCCAGCTGGGAGCAGCCCCGGGCACAGCCCCAGAGGGGCTCAGCCGTCGGTGGCAGGTGGGGGGCGCCGTGCCAGCGGGATCCTGGAACGCCCGGCAGAATGGGCAGAGCCATGACCCTCACGGTCCTTCAGCTTCTACTGGATGTGATGCATATGGGATGAACACCCCACTGGTCAATCTTGGGGTCACTCATCTTGTCCTCTCCTCCCTGCAGGTGGAGCTTTTACTTTCTGTCCCCTCTGTGTGACACATAAGCGTAGCAGTGACCTTGCTCTGCACACCAACCACTGGCAGTAACTCTAAACATGCAGTGTTATCACTGCTGGAAGCAGACACTGTCTGCAAAAATATGGCTTTAACTTCAGAAAGTGCAGTTAATTGGAAGAGGTTTAGCTGAAAAGTAAAATCACTGAATATAATTAGTCCTGTTGTATCCCAAATCAGGACAAGGCTGCTGCAAGTGTGCTCTGCTCTGGGATCTTCTCTTCTTGCATTGCTCATGCTTTCCTCTTCTGCCTCTGTTACATAATTCCAGGTTACAAGCATTCAGTTACACTAACCAGCCTAGATTCTTTTACATATGTATATATATTCCTGAAATTACATTTCTGAAAAACCTGCCTTGTTGGCTGGATTGGAGTAAAAAGCAGGAACTGTTTTGTTGGTGAGATTTTCAACAATCTCATTTTAAAGCAAATTGTATTAAGAAACTCTTGAGCAAAGAGGAACACGGTGAACAGTTAAGCCAATGGTTTAGGCTTAAGATTTTTGTTTAATCATAATATTTCCTCTGTTGCTTCAGAAAAGGATTGTCGTTGCTGAACTGTTGTTTACTGCCAATGATAAATGTGCAGGAACTGGGGAATTTCAGTCTGAGTCATCTGATTACTTAGAATTTTTATTTTCAACCTAACAGTAAATATCTAATACTTACAATTGAATATAAACCTAGAAAATACAATTTACATTCTACAAAGGCTTAAAAGGAAGAAGTAAAAGAATGGAAGTTGGAGGGTTTTATTGGTAACCTTGTATTTTTTATAAAGAGTGTTTGTGATCACTGTTAAGGATAAGTCTGTGCCTTTTAATGGTTTTTTTTTGAGTTCTTGTGTTTTAAAACACTAGCTAAAATAACATTCACTATTCACCTGTGAATAGGATTCTTTTCATATCATAATATGCTATGTTGACTGTGAGGAAGCAGAGGAGTACTTTGGTTGTTTCAGCCAGCACTCAGAACCATATACTTTTTAAATTTTTATTTTCACACCCATGCTATGGTGTATGTTATTCTTTTTCTGTCTAAGTGTCCCATATTCAGATATCATTTTAAGCATTTCATAAATTGTTTTAAAAAAAAAAAAATATTGAGAGTACCTGAAGCTCCACACTACTGTGGAATGTGCTGCCTCACTCAGAAGGCATTTTTAAATTTTAAATATGGATATTGTGTTTTGGAACTCAAAAAAGACCAGCTTTTAGGCACTCAATAATTCTAGTTCACTTTTCTTTTTTTAGTTTAATCCAAAATTTCCTTTTTTTGTTTCTGGGATAAAAAAACATATTCAAGCTGAATTTTCGAAATACATTTTTCACGCTGAGAAATAACTTTTTTTTTTTAACCATAGTGGAACTATGGTAGGACTCAACTTAGAGAAAATCTGAATTCTGCCTGTAGGTGTCAGTTTTTTGGTAAACTGAATCTTCATTTTTATTTTGAAATAACAGATAACATATATTTGTTAATAGATCACACAAGTATTTGAAATAATTATAAGGAACTGTGTTGAGAAAAGATTTATTTATGCAAACTCTATATCTGATACTCTACTTAAATAAATAAACCTGCACATTGCAAGCCCTGATGGCCTTGAATCTTTCTGGTTATTTCTACCTTCTGTGTTTTGTAGTGTGGTTTTTGTTTTCTAATGGGAAATTCTTACACGTTTTCTTAATATACTCTGGAGGCAGCAGCTGTAAAGGTAGAAATTCTTTGTGACTCTCTGTGCCTCTGGGCAAGAGAAGGATCACATAGCAGGAGCTATCAATCTAACCAGTGGCAAAGATGGAGTTGCAGGTTTTTTTTTTACTTCTCCTGACCTTACTGGGAGTTCACAGATGAAATGCATCACATTCTGGTTGTTGAATAAACTGGTGTCTTGGGCTCAGCTCATCAAGTTGGAAGGAGAGGAGGAGCTCTGCTCTTCCCACCTAGACTTATGGCAGCTCTGCACTCGGTGACTGGGACTGATGGAAGGGCTCCATGAAGTTGTCATAAGGAATTAAGCTATTGAGTTATCTTTAGTTTGCATTCAAAGGTACCCACTTGTAGCCTTTCTGTCTGGTTTCTGTGTTAGGATATAGTGTCAGCTTCATGTGGAGCTGATTTAATTTGTTTACAGTATGTACTTTTCAAAGCAGGAGACAGATTTTTGTGTGAAATAATGCAGGTTGGTGGTTGTCCTCTCCAGAGTTGTCAGACCTATTCCTTGGTATATATCAATCCAGCAGACTGTTAAGGAACTCCATGTACAGTGATATTAATGTGTTGCTTTCAACAATAGCTGCTAAGCAGTATCTTTGAAAAGCAGAACTTTGACAGCACTTTACTGCTCCTTCCCACATGTGCTGGCTGAATATCCTAATTTACACTAAATTGTTAAGACCAGCCTGCCAGATTTGGTCATGCTGTGATTTTTTTTTTTTTTTTTTTCCCTTCAAGCTAAAATGAAAACTTTCTCGTATCTTTGGGCTTCTGATTAAGAGCCAAAGAGATTGATGTGGTGAATTTTAAACCACCTTTTGTGTCCTTTTAAGTTTATGCACAGTGGAACATAGCGGTTTTTTTACTGCAGCTTAACATAATCATGATCTAAGATGTCATTGTGCTTGATTTTAGCACATTGTAGATGAGAATTGACATGCATTAGCTTAATTCACATTAGTAAAATGGCAGAGGGGATGTGTTCTAGTGTTACACTTCATGCTATCATTTAAAAGCTCTGACTTTTTAAACTCTTTTTAGCTCTGCTGCCCCTTCCTGTCAGCACATCCAGTTATAGCAACTACAGATATCCCTAACAAAAATAGCCGATCATCTCCATGATCTAGCAAATAGCAGCTGGAGGCCAAGAAATGTTCCAGCAACAAAACTGTATAATTAATGTTGCCTTTGCCATCACGCATGATCGAATTTACTTGTATCTACTATCTGCCTTCTGTTTAAGTCCGACTATGTGGTGGTGATATAGCCTGAAGTTCTGTGTGGAGTAAAAAGAATACTTTAAATTTGTAAACCAAATGTATCTACATCCATATCTACTAACAGACAAGTACAGATGCATGCACTTTTACTCTCTTGCCCTCTTTGGGTAGGCTACAAAAAAAGATTACTTTTGGTTGTACTTGCTGGACCTGAAAATCAACAGGTAAGTCTTGGAAATATTTTCTCCACTTACAAGCAAGAGATAGATACTTGAGAGACAGATGCTGTTAGAATGTGAGCAAAGCAAACAAAATAAGGAATGTTGGATTCCTGTCATCCCTTCCTTGATACCATTCTGCTTGTGAAATGAGCTGGTATAAAGCCAGGTGAAATGAGCTGGTATAAAGCCAGGAGAAGCTGTTCATGTGTCATTCTAATTTGATCAGTCTTTATCTGGTGTGTGATTCCTCAGGGATTCTAACAGCATGTCATAATTCAAAGTACTTTAAGCTTCTTTATTTCATTGAGGGAATGATGGCATCAGGATAGTAACTTGTCTCCAAAGTTTTTCCTCTCTCTTTCATGAGATTGTATTTTAATTCACACACATACAAAGAAAAAGGAAAAAAACCACACACAGAAAATGTTTGGAGTGTGTATGTATATTTGAATGCTATATACATCTCTGTTTTTTCTGGGCAGGTCATGCACAGATGATAATCCCTGGGTAAAACTGGCAACTGTTATGCTACAGAGATGCCCACCTGAGGAGAAGAAGAACATGGGAAATGAAATCTTGAAAATCTGCCGTTCTTTGTATGAGACAAAGCACATGCTCCCTGTTGAAGTAAGTTTTAACTTTGCATATCACGGGTATGAATCCTGTTTTGGAGTCCCAGCTACAACAAAGATGTTGCCATACTGGATCAAGTCCAATGGAGAGCTAAAAAATTATTAGGAGGCTGGTGCATAACAAATGCAGAAGTGCTGAGGGAACTGAGTTCATGCTGTCTTAAGAAGAGATGGCTGAGGGACATCATATTGCTGTCTTTACACATGTGGATGAGGAAACATGTAGAGGAGATGGAGCCAGCCTCTGCTCAGAGATGCTCAGTGATAGGTCAGAAGGTGATAGAGACAAGTTACATTATCAAAAACTTTCATTACGTACAAGGAAAGCAATTTATACCATTACAGTGGTGAAACACTGGGATAGGTGGATGCCTGGAAAAGACATGGGGTCTGTGTCCTTGGGGGTGTTCAGAACTTGAGTGGATCACATCATGCTCAGTTTGATCTTGTTTGAGTAGAGGCTAGTTGGATTAGCTGAATTTTAGAGGTCTATTCCAGTGTTATTCTTTGATGTATTTGTAGAAAGGCTTTAATGGTGTATTGTCATTGAAATCAGCATGGCAAAAGCTGTTAATTAAATAATCAGTAGTTTTCTCACTAATGCATAAAGATTTAGTGAGGAATCCGTGAAGAATGTGTTGGTGATTGAAAAAAAAAAAAACCAACAAATATACAAGGGATTGCTCTGTAATAACTATGGTGTTCTGTCTTCCTTAACTAGGTATGCATACTTTCATACAAATATCTCTTAAATATAAAATTATTGAAGCATTGTTAACGAAGACAGATTGGAGAAATGCTAAATAAACTTCACACAGCTTCAGAGTAGTCATGTGCCTATTTTTAGTAGGCTGATTAATCCTTTGTAATCATTTTCATGTAATCCCAGTCTGTTATAGAAGATAGCTGATGTTTAGAAACAGAGTAGAAACAACACATTCTATTTAAAATACAGACAGATTTGGGTGTTTGTTTTTTTTTTTTAAATAGTCCAGCAAACTCATTTGCATCAAGTTCAAAACCTATGTAAAATATGATGCCAGAAGGTGTCACTAAACTGAAATGATAAATACATTTATTAATTTATTCATCCCACCAAAATTTTTTGATGGAAGCAGGCCTCTGTATCCCTGGGACTGGTGTAGTTATGTGTAGCTTTTCTTCATAAGGTGTGATCATAGCTTGCAAACTCATCATCTTATTTGTGCACAGGAGTAGTCAAATTTTGTCAGAGTAGAATTTTCTACCTCACCTTGGTGATCCAGGAAGACAGATCCCACTGAGGGTCACTGTTATAAAGCAGTCAGGTCACTAAGAGTTCTGCTCAAGGGTGGGTCATGAATTGCTCACTTCTCTTAATTGAGCAAACATTTTTTTGAACTCCATAACTAGTCCCTATTTACAGACAGTTTATCTGTTAGTTGGCAGCTTTGACTGGAGGTGTCTTCATTTTTTAACAGTACAGGATGTTGGAAGAACCCTCCATGTAGGTATGAAGATATTCTGGTCCTCAAGCATGAAATAGCTTTGCCTATGTAAAATAACCTTTTGTATGACTAGGACACTGTGCAGTAACAGGAGTTCACTAAGATGTGTAATTGTGCAGTTAGCTACACAGGTTAGCGTTAGGCTTTTACCTGGAAAGAGGGGGAATGACACGAGTAAATTTAAGTAACTTATTTGTATGGATGGCTAGAGTACTTAAGTGCACAAATTAGAGACTTGAGATTTGTGTGGCTGAATAAGATGAAAATATGATTACTGACAATCTGTTTAGATGACTTCAGGTTTCAATGAATACACTGATTAAGAAGATAGACCTAGAATGATAGAATTCTAAAAACTGAGAGATCAATTTACCACTATGAATAACATTTGCCATTCTGAAGTCCAAAGGTTGTGATGGAAAAAAAAACATTTAATTTCAAGTCATGATGGTCTAGAAGTTAGAAAAACTGTTTTTTTCAGATGTAATCAGAAAGGTTTCACTTTTCCTTTATCCCACCTCCTGCTGGTCTTTCTATTTTTTTGATGGCCAAGTTATTTTTTTTCTTTTTATGTCCTTTGGAGAGTTGTATAGCTTTAATCTTTGTATCTTTGTATGGGGGGGTGTTTCCTTCTTTGGTTTTGGGTTGGTTTGTGTTTTTTTTTTGTTTTGTTTTGTTTTTTTGTAGATTTGCATTATTCAGTGGATAGATTTTTCCATTCCTCTTAGTTGAAATAAGCATTGTTTTATTTGCTTGGAAGGCACATGTGTTTGGACTGTCTGACTTCTCTTTAGAAAGGGAAAAATCCTTCTCCCTTCAGTAATTGTTAAAGTTGACTTCTCTGAATATGTCATGGTTTTCTGTCAACCTATGGGTCATGTGTCAGTTAACATAAACATCTCAATGAGAGAATGCATCTCTTATCTCTAATCTGTCTCTTATCTGTAATCACCCAGAGGTCCTAGTCATCATAAGATGCTTAGTTTGTGGAACAATATAGAAGCCAGTTGGTCTCCTTTTTTTCCTGTTCTTGTAGTTGTTCTTTGTTTTTGTATGAGGATGGTTCACTTAATACAATCCTGTCCATGATGCCAATTTTTCTGTTGCATAAAAGGGACATGAGTCTGCAGGGTGGGTGGGGAAGGCCCTCCTGTCGAGTCATGAGGTTCAGAAAGGACCCACTTGTTTGGTTGACTCCTTAAAAGAGGAGTTTAGGTGAGGCTAGATCTAGTCCTAGTTCCAGACTTGGTTGGCACTTTATGTTCAAAGGGTTATGTGTGTACCTATCTGAGTCAATATCTGCCTGTTTCAGAGCCCTGCTAAGGACTTCCACTGAGAGAATTTCACAAAGTCAACATTTGGTGCAGGGCTGAGGGAGGCCTTCCCATTGAGCTGCGAGGTTCAGAGTGGACCTCCTTGCTTTCTAGACTTCCTCTCAGGGAGAAGCCTAGGTGCAGCTAAATCCACCCTTAGTCATAAACTGCTGACCAAGTCTGGGACTAAGGATTATACACGTGTGTAGTAACTTACTAGACTCAATGTTTACCTGTTTCAGAGCCCTTCTAAGGACCTTTAGTGAGACAGATTCACAAAAATAGGTAAATTATTAAGGTGACAGATAGAACAAGTTCAGAATTGCTATTGATAATTACACTTACTGCAAAAATCAAGCTCAAATTAGTAATTCCTGGTTAATATCCAACAGATTGGAGGTGCAAGATTTACCAAACAGGCATCCATGCTTGAGGAGGAGAGAGATCCTTGCCTGTTGACCCATCCAGATAATTGGAATTCTCTTCCTCAAAAATAGGGGATTCTAAAGAATAATTCTGTACCTGTTGATAGCGTGGGGCTAGGTCATATCTTGTGTGCCAGTTGTCTCCTAGCAGGCTAATAGTGCTCTCGAGTAAAGGCTGGGGAGGGGGGGAAGCAAACACTTGCCACAGGTGCAAAGTCCTGTGTTGGTACAGCCTCTGTTCTGTTGGTACAACCTCTGACAATTAGGCCTTGTCTCCAGCTTTGCTGATAAGCTCTCTGGCTATAAGACTTCTTTATTGTTGTGGATGCATATTTTCAAGAAAAGGAGACGTGTAGGATGAATCTCTAACTTTGCATTCAGTAGGTTTGCTGGAATGGTTAGGTATGCTGCTTAAAATTAATACAATGGAATATGAAATTATCAGAACTTTAATAAGCTTATGACTGATTACATAGTTAATGTATTTATTTAATATTTTTATTCCTTGGTCCTCTATCCCATCCTTCACTGAAACCATCAACAATCAGTAGCAGTACAGAATACAAGTTTAAAGGAACAAGTCTGGGTAAGGGAACAAGCCTTGCCTCAGTGACTCAGAGCTCAGTGTGACAGATCTTTATACACAGTGTTTCTTGAAGGCATAAATATAGAAAAAGACTAGCAACCTGCAGCCAGAGAGCTCCCTGTGCCAAGCAAGGCCAGGTGTCTGTGCAGTACATTACAGTAGAACATTTAACATCTCTTCATCTTCAAATCGTTCTTCAGCTTTTAGCTCATAGCTATGAAGACTGTGCTGCTAAAAGTGTCATTACATCTTGGGCAGCAAATTGTTACACTTGTCATTAAACTGCAAAAGATGTAAAAAATATGTCTTGTATTCTCTCAGCTTAATATTTAACTGATGAGCTCCTTCAACAACTGCTCCCCAGATGTTGGAGTGAAATGGAAAGCACCTCTAAGAGCTGGATCCCATTTTCAGGGTGACTACCATACAATGTACAGAACATTCAGCCTAAGTAATCCTGGAATATGGGACAATTCTAATGTGCCTCATGGGGAAGTGGTTGTGACAAATTACCCAAATTCTTGGAAATGACAAAAAGGGGAAGGGAAGTTATAATTTGATTTATAACATAATTTGTTCGTTGAAGTACTTTTCGGAGTATACATTTAAAAAATCACTACAATGTTGAGGTAAAAAAACCTTCAAGTTACATGTGGGATTCTTTGTTTGTTTAACTAAGGCCAAGATAAAGATTTGAGAGTGCACAGTAGGTTTGTTGGGGGGTTTTGTGGTGGTTTAGTTTGTTTGTTTGGGGTTTTTTTAAAGATATTTCCTTGTCTAATTTCTTCTTGCAGAAGATCTATGATGCTAAATGTGTGCGATATTGTAAAATAAGCAAAATAGGTAAATGAGTGAAAGTGATTTTGCTGAACTTTTTTCTTGTATTTAAAACTATATAAAATTTTGAAATATTTTGCAACAGAACTTTGTTATTCAATTGTGGTATGTACTGTTATTTCCACTTTATTTTTTCCACTTTTATGATTGCATAATTGAGTTACAGAGAAGTCACAAGCGTCTGTTAAGTTCTTCCTGTGCTTTACAGTACTTCAGTAAACACAAATATTAGTCCCACAGAGAGCTGTGATTGCACTGTTGTTCTTTCCGTGAAACTCCAGGTTGTAATGGTGATTCAGTGTCTGCCTTCTCTTAATAAAACAAATATTGGACTTATAACCTTGATTCCACTTTTTTTTTTTTTTAGATGTGTCCTTTCAAGCTTCTGCAGAGTTATCTCCAACAGGGAGTTCATTTCTTGTGGAAGTTTGGTTTTCATTCTGCATTTGACATAAAATTTTCATAAATTTCAGTGTGAATGATGATGTCAGTATCTCTAGAGATCTCACCAGATGAGTTTACTTTTATTTTCAGTGTATAAAAGAATTATGTTTGCTGCTGCTTAACCAGTCCCTCCTGCTGCCATCCCTGAAACTGCTGGTAGAAAGCAAAGATCAAGATCTTCACGCTGTGGCACTGGAGCAGATAACAGCTGTTGCTAAGGTATGAGCGGTTGAATTAACCACCTTTCAGAGAGTGAGGTAATAAATTAGCCCGTTTATCTTCATATAGTGAGCAGGGGCTATTGAGACCCTTATCATTATTAAGATTTTGTACAGCTATTGTGTCCCACAGTGAGCAGTAAGAGCAGAGAGCTAGAAAGATCTTTTATATATGCTTGAGGTGATTAAAACTCACAGCACTTTCTTTACATTATCTAGTATGCTATTTTAAGTCAGTGTGGTGGAACAGAAGCTGTCCTGTTATATAAAGTGGATTGTTATCTCTGGGTTCATATTCTAGCACTGGAGGGGGTTTTTAAGTGGCAATAGTACATCAGGTGAGTTAGCTTGTTTCTGACAAACTTGGGAGTCTGTTTATATACAGGTGGAGAGGTGTTACATCCCTGGTTTTGTTGCAGAAAGATCGAAACATAAGACAGTGTGTTTGGGAACATTTATGTAACTCTAAACAGGTTTTATTTGATACTGCAGCAAAGTTTCTGGAGAAAAAAACAACTAAATACTGTCTTTCATTCTTTGGACAAGAACTGAAAGACATTAGTGTATATTTTTCAATTGTTATATAAAGTTATAGGTAGTCTTTTTTTCCTGTGCATTGGCTTTTCAGTTAAGAAGGAACACCTGAAATGATGAAAGCTGGTCCCCTAGACAAAAAGCATTATTTTATCTTTCATCTTTTTTTATGAAAAACCTGGATTTAAAACTTCTTGATGCTTTTAATTGAACATGTGCATTTACAACCTGAGACTTTCTTTAATTTTCTGATAGCTATGGTATATGATCTAGCACTACCACGAAAGAGGAGAGAGGTGTCGTCTCAGACCTTTATGTGAAAGGGAATGGCTTTCCTGTCTGGCTAAATTAACTGCATTGAGTGTTTCCAGAATTACAGCATTTAGGAAAGAAAACTTCATGTTTAATATTATTCCAAATGCTATAATGCATCTTAGAGAGGAGGTCTTGATTGTGTATTACAATACAGAATAATAACTGATGGTAGATTTCCCATATGCTACTACAAAATGTAACTGTCTGTAAGGAAACAGAAATGGAACTGTGTATATCTTTTAAAATAAGCATTCCCAAAACACAGAAGCATGAGATTTGTAGGAATTCAGATTGAACTTTTAACTTTTTATTGAGACATATAAAGTAGACGAACATCCCCCAATTTCTTCAGAAGCCTTCTAGGGCAGGCTCTCTACTTTATAGAATCATTAAGGTTGGAAAAGACCTCTAAGATCATCAAGTCCAGCCGTCACCCAGCACTACCATGACCATTAAACCAAGTCCCCAGGTGGCACATCTACACGTTTTATTGAACACCTCCAAGGATGATGACTCCACCACCTCCCTGGGCAGCCTGTTCCAAGGCCTCACTGCTCTTTCAGTAGAGAAATTCTTCCAAACATTCAGTCTAAATCTCCCGTGGTGCAAGTTGAGTCCATGTTATATTAATTATATTAATTAATAGTTATATTAGTTGCAACAAATTTTTCAGTGCTTTATCTGCAGCATAATGATGGTGATGATAGGGTTGAGTGCCTATGGGTAAGGACCAGGGGAAAGGCCAACAAGGCAGATATCGCGGTGGGAGTCTGTTGTAGACCACCCAACCAGGATAAAGAAGCAGACAAAATAAAATACTCTGTAAGCAGCTGGGAGAAGTCTCACAATCACTACCACTTGTTCTCATGGGGAACTTGAACTTCCCAGATGTCTGCTGGAAGTATAGTACAGTGGAGAGGAAACCATGTAGGAGGCTCCTGGAGTGTGGAAGATAACTTCCTGGTACAACTGGTGAGTGAGACATCTGGAGAAGCTCCCTGGAAGCCCTGTTTGCAATCAGAGAAGGACTTGTGGGTTCTGTGAAGGTTGGAGGCCATCTTGGGCATAGTGATCGATTCTTGGAGAAGGAAGGAGGGGGGTCAGTAGAACTACCACACTGGACTTCCAGAGGGCAGACTTTGACCTGTGTATGAGATGAGTGGACAGAGAAGGGCCAAGGAGGAGGATCCAGAGAACTACAGGCCTGTCAGTCTGACCTCCGTGCTGGGAAAAATTATGGAGCAGATCATCTTGAATGTCATCATGTGACACATACAGGACAACCAAGCAATCAGGTCTTGATTGACTAACCTGATCACCTGCTATGACAAGGTGACCCACTTAGTGGACAAGGAAAAGGCTGTGGGTGTTGCTTATCTCAACCTGAGTAAAGCTTTTGACACCATTTCCCACAGCATCTTCCTGGAGAAAATGGCTGCTGATGGCTTGGGACATATGCTTTGCTGGATAGAGTAATGGTTAGATGGCTGAGCCCAAAGAGTGGTGGTGAATGGAGTTCAATCCAGTTGGCAAAAGGTCACAAGTGGAGTTCCGTTCTGTTTAATGCCCTTATCAGTAATCTGAATGCAGGTATTGAGGGCATCCTCAGTAAGCTTGCAGATGACACCAACTTAGGTAGGGGTGTTGGTCTGCTTGAAAGTAGGGAGGCTCCACAGAGAGACTTGGACAGACTGGATCGATGGGTTATGGTCAATTGTATGAGCTTCAACAAGACCAGGTGTTGGGTCCTGCACTTAGGCCACAACAACCCAATGGCACACTCAGGCTTGGGGAAGAGTGGGTTGAAGGCTGCTTAGAGGAAAGGGACCTGGGGGTGCTGATTGACAAGAGGCTGAATGTGAGCCAGCAGTGTGACCAAGTAGCCAAGAAGGCCAATGGCATCCTGGCTTGTGTCAGAAACAGTCAGCAGGACTAGAGAAGTGATTGTCCCACTACACTCAACACTGGTGAGGCTGCACCTTGAATACTGGGTTCAGTTTTGGGCCCCTCACTACAGGAAGGACACTGAGTTGCTGGAGTGTGTCCAGGAATGGGTAACAAAGCTGGTGAAGGGTTTACAGCACAGGTCTTACGAGGAGAGGCTGGGGGAACTGGGGTGGTTTATCCTGAAGAAAAGGAGGCAAAAGGAAATCTTACCACTCTGTACAACTACCTGAGAAGTTGTTGTAGTGAGGTGGGCGTCGGTCTGTTCTGCCATGTGGCAAGTGGTAGGACAAGAGGAAATGGCCTCAAGTTGCATCAGGGGAGGTTTAGGTTGGATATGAGGAAAAATTTCTTCACAGAAAAGGTTGTAAAGCCTTGGAACAGGCTGCCCAAGGAGGGGGATGGAGTCACCATCCCTGGAGAGATTTAAAAGACTTGTAGATGTTCTGCTTAGGGACAGGGTTTAGTGGTGACTTGGTGGTGCTCGGTTAATGCTTAAACTTGATGATCTTGGAGGTTTCTTCCAACCAAAGTTATTCAATGATTCTGTTTCCTAGCTGAGTTTGACATTCTTAGCAGAGAACCAAAGGTTTTTAAGAAGATGTTCTTATTCCCTTTTCTTTATACAAATAAACTAAAAATTTTCGAAATTATCCACAAAACCTAATTTTATAACTGTTAACTACCAAAGCAATCGCAGATTATCTTAGTATATTAATAGTTTTCTTGAACACCTGCAATTTTAGATTTATATATGCAAAGCAAGGCTTGTTTTGTAACTGGTTTTCAACAAGATGATCTCATTGAAAAGCAAGCAGGGATCTGATCTATGCATGTACTTTCTCATCTATATGTTCTTGTTAACCTTTTAAAATTGACTTCTTTGTTAACAGATGAAGGCTGCAGTGTGACTGGCTCTGAAGCTTGCCAGCAGGAGTTTGTGTCCGAGTACATTTTATTTAACTATTTTTAAAGCATAATGCTGTGCAGTAGCACTTTCTGAATGGTTACTAATTGCATTGCTCTCTTAACTGGCCTTTTCTTTCCAGTGTGCTACAGCTTTCAATTTTCTACACTCTAGGCTGATTACATTATATTGGAGTTTTAAGGCCAGGAACCATGTTATCTTCTTACTAATATAAAGCACTTTGTACACCTGTGCATGCCTAAAATAAATCTTTTTGGCCTTCTTATGCAGGAGGCAGCTTGATAAGCTGTTTCCAATTTTTCCTTCTAAATTCAGTATTAATTTGAGCAGATAGTTCTGCAAGAGTGCTAGATAACCTAGAATTTTTCAAAGCATTTAGCTTTGGTCTGATGTTTCCTCCTAAATCAATGAGACTTTAATTATTGACTTCATTACGTCAGGCACAGAGCTTAGCCAGTACTTTCAATGTGACATTCCCCTGCCAGTGTTAGAAAAGTAACTAGTAGAAAAGAGTGCTATGCTGAATTTAAAAGGTGTTCTTATATTGTTTAGAAAAGTATTTCTTATTTTATGCATCTCTCATGGTTGCATATAGTTGGTGTTGTACTAAAATAAGTGCATATATTGCTTGGCTGTGTCAGTGTCGTTTCATTCAGTATCATTTTGCATGCATACTTTTTGCTGTTTAAAAACAGTTTTTGAACTGTTAATGTTTTCTGTAGAATTCATAATGAATTTTTCAGAGGAAGGCCATTTCTGCCTACATTAAACTGGAAAAGGACAAATAACATCTGGCAAAGGGAAATCGTGGCTATTGATTCCCTGACACAGTGCTAACACAGCTCACAAACACGGCTCTGAAAAAAACACAGCGCTTGGCTGCTGATACGAGGTATTAGTTAGCCATTTGTTGTGTGGGGCTGACAGCTTTATGGATGTTTACAGTTAAGGATGATGCTGAAGTGCTGATACTGGGAATTGTGTAGTTTTTCCCTGTAATAAGACAAGCAAGATTTTGTGTAAGCTTTTTCTGAAATTGCAGGCCTCTCTTTTTATTGCGTATCTTTTTATAAACTGCCACTCGTCTTTTTAGGAGAACAGAAATAACTAATCTTCCTCTGTGTTTTATGATGTGTGAATAATTTTAAAAATCAGTGTACTTAAATAAGCTTATTACTTCCAATAGGGCTCAGAGTTTTCCCTTAAGAGTCAAATTGGTTTTGAGAAGGATTTTGGTGTTGGCTGTTCACTCAATAATCTTTCGATGATTAAGACTGATT